TGACACTCTCCCGAATCAATCACTTTGAGATGAGCTCCTCCACTTGTTGATGAAATTCTTCATACTCCTTAGGTCACATTGAATACATAAGCCTATAGAAGAAGACAACCCAAAAATATATATATTACATGCTATATATCACATATAGGAACCAATCCTGCAAGTATTTCGATAAGGAACACATTTGGATGCTATTATAATAGTGATTGAGCCTCCATAGACCCTTTATCATCAACTTAACTCTCTTCAAGGATCACTACGGCATAAATGAACTCTGATTATTGCATGGCCCTCGTAAATATAAATTTGAACACATCAATGGAACCTTATTAGCTCTTTCATTTAGTGGATAAACAACAATAACTCTCCATCTCGCTCCAAAGTATAGATAATCCTATACCCATCATGAAAAGTATGCATGTCGTACTGTCAGGGTGTTCCTCACAACAAATGACATTGCAACCATTAGAAGAACATCATGGGATGACTCTACTTGAAGTTTCATTTCAAAAGAAAATTAGCAAAAGAAACTTTGTCATTTTAATCTTTTTTTTCCCCTCTCGCAACCACGAAAGGTTGTTTGAGTCTTGATATTTGTGCATTAGAAGGTTTAAATTCACCATTTTAATAGAAACAACATCCTTGTAGCTTCCACCGTAAATAATGATAATGCACACCTTTCTCAGAAAGTACACGGAGTATGTGTAGAACGTTACAGTGTAGCCACTTTGCTTAATTATCAAAGTTAGCATTCAATACATTCTGAATAATAAGAAGCTACCATCCTTGTAGCTTCCACCGTAAACAATGATAATCCACACCTTTCTCAGAAAGTCACGGAGTATGTGTAGAACGTTACAACATAGCCACTTTGCTTAATTATCAATGTTAGCATTCAATACATTCTGAATAATAAGAAGCTATCCTTTAAAACTCCTCTTCTACTTCTAGTGCACCATCTACTACACCATTTTTTTGAGGTCATTTCTTAAACAAGCCTAATTACTCTTTAGTTGGGGATACTTGAGGCAACATGGGTAAACATGAGGTACTTGAAAAAGTTTTTGGAGCAGCATCGGGGTAAGAATTCAACTCACCTCTTAAAGGAACCAACGTTAGCCATACTAAAATCTTGCATAAATAGGGCACCTCTTAAAGGAATCAACGTTAGCCATACTAAAATCTTGCATAAATAGGGATTAATATTCTTTGATGCCCGTTAATATCGTTCTATTCTTATGAGCAGCTTAATTACATAAAAAATAGTACAATATCATTGAAATTGAACCACATGAGTGACTCCAAGATGTAAAAGACCCATTAACATTGCAATGGTGTGCTCCCATGGCTATAAAATGTCACAATGAAAGCATCTCAATCAAAAAATGTATTCTTTTATCATCGATTCCTTTCGTTAAAAATTATGTAATTTAAAGAAAGCATCTTAACAAAAATGAGTGAGCAAATATCACTATTGTAATGCTTTCATTGAGTCCCATGTGATAACCTGCCCTCGCCTTCAATATTCCTATTTATTTTCAAATTTCCCTCAAAAAGAATCTTTTTTGTTACTTTATGGCCAACAACTTACCACCAATCAGGTCACACTTTTTTATAATCAAAGGCTTTCTCCACCATGTGCAACCAATGAATGCAATCTTTTGAATTTAAACCTCCAAAATTCAGCAGATTCACTTTTACCTCAAAATGATGACAACACCTTCCCAGTTCCCACATTGGTGCCGAAGGGCAGAGCACCTCCATATTGGATGATTCTTAAAGCATATTATGAAAAATCTTCTCCATCTCCCAATCTTAATTATCCTTCAAACAAAAGGAATAAGCATTTAGGCCCCATCACTCCCACATCAATAGATGCCAACCGCTAAATTTCGAATTGCAGCTCCTCCAACATGATTTATTAAAGCAAAACATAAGGAATTCTTTATTGGCAATATTCTCTACAAACTATGATACCACTTTGACACTAAAAGAATAAAAAAAGGAGCTCGACAATGTGAAATAGCACTATAAAGAATAGCAAGAACCTAAGCAACATACAGACTATCCGAGATCTGCTCATGAGTCCATGAAACTGGCAATAGAACAACAAGATGACTTCAAAAGCCTCTTAGTAATGGAGTCTCTCCTATGCCTGGTCGAGATCAAGCAATGTCCTCAAGCAACATGAAGCAGGCTACAAGGTTCCCACTAATAGCCAAAACTACCAAAGAACTAGTTGATTGATTGATTGTGGCAGATTTCAACACTACACTAGGACCTATTTCCTAGTCAATGGCACAAAGAACAAGAGAATACTCCCCAAAGAAACCTGAAATTTTCAATTTATATTACAGTAATCAATGAACTATGCGAGGTAGAGGTTTTAATAAATCTAACAACCAAGAAAAATACAAAATAATCCAGAGGTAGAGGTTTTAAATAGGTCATAAATCTAACAACCAAGAAAAATACAAAATAATCCATAGCCCATAAATCCCACCCATAACTAAATAAAATTTCAACCATACTTACACTCTCTTAAAATATCATGGCATCATTATGCTTGACATAGTTTACTAGTTTGAAAATAATTCAATATTAAAATTATTTTTTAAAAAAATAATCTTCAAGATAATAAATTTGATGAAGATTATTTTAAAAAAAATAATTTTAATAATAATTCAATATTAGAGGTAAGAAATAAACAAACTCAGTTCTACACCTTGCAACCCATGTGAAGTGGGAATGATAAGTTGTCACTACCTTCATCATCCACCCTAACCTATGATCCTAAAGAGGGTAGAAATAAATTGTGAGAATTCCATCAAATAATCTCATCCTTTATTAACATAACCCAAATTTGAATCATTTTTCTCTCCCCAAAAAAATATAAGTTTAACTTTAGAGGAGGGGCTTCCAAAAAATTACAATTTGAAGTTAAAAAAAAATTGGACAACCACGGAGAAAAGAGAAATAAATCCATAAGAATATAGAATTAGCAAAATTTACTTTACAAAGCAACTCACCTTCTCCCACATGCCCGACTACCTTTTATGGAGAGGTCCAACGAAATATTTCTTTAATTTAAGTCAAAATTATTTGCATTTTTATTTTAAGAATTTAGAAAAAGATGTCCTATACATCAACATAAATTACTTTTCGACTATCCATAGTTTAAATAAATGTAAGAAATCTAAGACATAATTTTCCAATTTAGTGCGCTTAAATTGGATTATGGATCTATAAAACTTGACTCTTATTATTCTATAAATAACATGACTCAAGATGTAAATTTCATGTAAATTTCAAGCTTCAATCACATAAACAAAAATTCTTTCTCATTCCCTCTTTCTTTATCTGTTTGGTGTAGGACCCTTCAAGTTATTCCCTTCTCCTACCTATGGTATGTAATTCAAGGTATGAAAAATCCAAAACAAGAGATCTAAAGAGCAAGTTGCCAGTCCATCCACAATCTCCTCACAGGAGTGTAAGAGAAACAAACAAGAAATTTAAGTTTTCAATGAATATCTATTTTCCTGTACTGCATAGGATTATAAATTTGAAAAAAAAATTTACAATCATTTTGTATTAGAAAAAAGAAAAGATGGAGATGGCAGAAGAACCCCCTTTCCCTATCCCAGCACAACTTTTGGGCGGAGTTCAACAAAAAAAGAGAGAAATTTCATACTTGAAAAGGGTATTGTAATTACAAGAATGCATACCAACATTCAATTTTTTGGACAGGTAAGGGATAGACCACAAGAATTTGAGACTTCTGACTTTCCAAATAATTTACCATCATAAATTCATAAAGATAAAATTACATGCTACTGAAAATGTGAATATGTTGTCCTGCAATCCGTACAATGCAACGATGTCTCAAAAAAGCCCACGAGGTTTGTTGAAGGACCCAATGACATGAAAAGAAATAAGCATAATCAATCCAATTGTCAAAATTTTGAGATCTTAGTAGCCACGTAAATATTAACAATCGCAATAATAAAATTTTGAGATGAGAAGGATGATGATGATCATGATGTAAATAAATATATCACTTCAAATTGCCAAAATTTTGAGATGAGAAGGATGATGATGATCATGATAATGATATTAACAATCGCAATAATAAAAAATCTCAAATAAATATTGCGCAATGAACCTTAGCACCATTTAACAATGTAGTAATCCATGAAAGAAGTGTAGGAGACCTAGATTCTATAGAATAACTTATGTAGGTATATACAAATAAAGTAAACAAGATGTGTATCTTATATTCGATAACTTTAACATAAAGATAGCTCATCATTATTTTGATTAATAAGCCATATTTTATTTAGATCATATATGTTTAATTCAAAGAAATCAATTGCCAAGTATTGTGTTAAATAAATTATGAAATGTATTTCATTGCCAAACAATAAATAGAATAAATAATAAAAATTCAAGTAATTAAGAAATCAAACAGTAAGCTTGATTATCATGGAGTAAGATGTGAGTCATTAACCAAGAGATCTAACAAAACTAAAACTTAGCCAAGTGAGTAGGCACTATGGTCTACTAATAATGAATTTAAACAGTCCATCAAGAACAAAAACTAATAGTGTAAAAGAAAAAGATTTCCAGGCACTGTCACCAATTAGCAAAATACTTTACATAACCATCACAAAATAAAAAATTAAATGTTTACAGCCTATAGCATTTAATTTGAGTTTAAAGTTAAAAGCTTGAAGAGGATAAGCTCAGTTCAAGCATGCAATAACTGCTTCAAGCCGCTTGATACAAGGAGAAACCTCTTAAGTAAAAATATAGATTCGCCGATTAAATATGAAATTTCATGTAAATATTGTCAATTTCAGGAAAAAACAGAACATAATGGCATTCATATAGTTTAAACCATAAGAAAAGTCAATATAATTAGCAAAAATATAGTTCTAGCAAATCATAAACATCTAGAAATTTCTGCCCATAAAACACTTAGTGATAAAGTTTAACCTCACCTCTGTCTTGTAACGTGTGTCAGGAGGTGGTATTTTCAACTGAACTTTCCAATCCTGGGAACTGAAAACATAACCAACGACACGAGAAATAATAACAAATTAGTTTCCTAAAACAAAATATATAGCCAACGTATCATTCGAAACAATCCCAACATATAATATAAAAAACTGAAGTACTAAAATAATGGTGATCAGCAAGGTGCAATGCATGAATAATAGAGGCATAAGACCAATTATAGGAACATAATTTAGCTTATATAACAATTTGGGTTTCGTGAGAATTCATAAAAGAAAACAGCCTCAAATATAGTAACTCTGATTAAAAAAATATATTTAAAAAATAGATTTTGAGACAAGCTTCCAATCCGCTGAAGAATAACGATTGATCCACTTGATTAACTGGCACTAAAACATACAACAACAAACTAGAACAGCGAGATTATTGATTCAAACATGTCCCAAGATTTGGAGTAAGAATCTAGATAACATAGCATAAGTGCGGCACCAAAGATAACATTTTTAATCACATTCTCGGTTATATAAAATGAGGAAAAAGTGCATCTTAAATTATAAAGTAAAACAACCAAAAAAATCTAAAAAATTCCAGATTTTATCCATCTCCAGTCCCTGAGACCACTTGATTAACTGGCACTAAAGCATACAACAACAAACTAGATCAGCAAGATTATTGATTCAAACATGTCACAAGATTTGGAGGAGTAAAAATCTAGATAACATAGCATAAGTGCGGCACCAAAGATAACATTTTTAATCACATTCTCGGTTATATAAAATGAGGAAAAAGTGCATCTTAAATTATAAAGTAAAACAACCAAAAAAATCTAAAAAATTCCAGATTTTATCCATCTCCAGTCCCTGAGACCACTTGATTAACTGGCACTAAAACATACAACAACAAATTAGAACAAGGAGATTATTGATTCAAACATGTCCCAAGATTTGGAGGAGTATAAATCTAGATAACATAGCATAAGTGCGGCACCAAAGATAACATTTTTAATCACCTTCTCGGTTATATAAAATGAGGAAAAAGTGCATCTTAAATTATAAAGTAAAACAACCAAAAAAATCTAAAAAATTCCATATTTCATCCATCTCCAGTCCCTGAGACCAGTAAAATGAAACAGTTTAAACCAAATTTATAAAAATATTCCTTCAACTAACGACAAAATATCATTTTCCAGTAGACTGAAAAATACCAAATAGTTCTTAAAAATTTGCCAGTAGAGAGAAAACTTTGCATTAATGCAACTTTCTTTTTGTCCTTGCACAACAAGTTACAGATCCAATTGAAATTTTAATAAACAAAGCATAGCAAAATGAAAAAATGTTGCGTATTCTAGTTTCTATTAGCATATATAGCACCATATAATCAAGAAAAAAGAGAAAAGTACATGGATTCTGGGTCTGAACTTTGCAAAAATGACAGAGCATTCTCAACAATTTACCATAGCTATACACACTAAAAATTATGTAAGGATGTCATCTTTACAGTTTTCATTCATCATCCCTTGATCAGCACAATACAAAATTCAACTTGATAACTTCGACATTTCTTTCCTTACCTTGAATCCCTGCCTTCAGAGGGCACCAAATTCACCGCATCAAAGGCACTAGAACTACTTTCCACCTGATTCATCTGACTCCTCCGCCATTCTTCTTGCTGCTGCTGTAGTTGCTGTCTCTGCTGACTCGATATAAGATTTCTCTGCACGTATTGCTGCTGAGGCTGCGGTCCTCTCGGGTAGAAATTGGGATTAGAACCCGCGCTGCCCCCGCGGCCGTTACCAATACCGGTAGGATACCTTCCTCTAGGGTTCATCCGAGCGAAAATCGCTTAGCAACGCCAAAAATGAAAAGATTCTTCGACAACAAGAAAACTTCTTTTTGTGAGAGTATCACAATAAAACTAGCTTAGATTTCGCAGAAAAACTCAAATAAGAAATAGCGAGGGCGGAACTCGGAAGCTTCCAATCCTACTGAAAGACCTTTCAATCTGATTCGCGGAGGAAAAGCAAGAAGTTAAGCGATGGTGAGACCAGATTAGCGAAATATATGTCGAGAGCGAGCGCGAATGAGGCATTTCTCCTCTGTGAGGGAAAATTAGCTCCTTTTTATAGAACTTGTTGCAGCGATCTGAGACTGGAGAAGGGAGACGAGGGGAGAAATTCTTAGGTCAGAACAGACGCATGTGGAGGAAAGAAAAAGATGCATTTGTTCAAGCTTCACTTCGAATACCAGGTTTATTCTAGGGTTTCACGATACAGCATAGTATCATTTGCATTCATACCACAAACCTTTTATGTATTTACATATCTAACACCTAAACTTTATATTTATACACACAACACCCAAATCTTCATATTCAAAGTGAAATACATCTTTTTTATGTATTAATTTATAACATCAAAGTGTTATAAATATAAATATCAATTTCTAAGTGTTAGATATATAAATACATAGAAATTGGGTGATATATATGCATGTAAATTTTTCTATATTTTATATGAATGGAGTTTTTTAGAAAATAAAAGAAATTGAAATTTTTTTAGATTTTAAAAAAAATGTAATCAATTAAGAACTATATAAAGAAGGGAATAATATTTAGAAATATAGGTGTCTCAAATATTAGAGAAGATAAGAAATGCCATGGAAATTATCTTTTGAGTATTTACATATATACCATTAAATTTGCGTGTATTCTATTTTCATCACCTATTTGTTATTTTTATAGCATAGTCGTACCCATATAGCTTAAAAATTTATGTACGAAAAGTATAGTCTATTCTAGATTAGTAAATATTGCTGATATTTTCTTATGTTGAATGATTAATGTATTATACACTGAAAAGATAGCAATTTAAGTATAAATATAAAATTAAATGGTGTGTATTAAGATTTCTCAATTTATTATCTTTAGTTTGAAGTTAACAAAATACAAAGCATTCGTGGGATTTGAAATAACTTGTAATATTTATTTGATAAATTTATAATTTGTTGAAATGAGATGAATTCCAAAAATAAAACAAACTCAGTGTTTAGATTCATTTATTATGGTCAGTGTCCATCATCAATGCTCATCGCTCGTCGTTCACCATTATCACTAGCCATCACCACTGCCCACCATCGTAGCTGCTACTATCAAAGTTTATAGTTGTTGAACGCACGATTCCCGTATCACGGTCTCCCGCCATCATTAGCAACTCTCATCACTGCCCATCCCCTGTCGCATTATGTCAATGTCCACCACATTTTCATTTATTTAAAATGCGTTATAACAAATCAAAAAAAAAATATTTCAATATTCTTTATACACATATTATCATGTGTACATGTCAAAAGTCATGTTGGGAGATTAGGTAGTGAATGATTGAGTGGTTGGGAAAGCAAAACAAGACATTAGAGGCTGGTAAACATTAGCAGTAAACTTGGGGCAGTTATTCTTATAATAGAGGATACAATATTATCTATAAGTTGTGCATCGAATGTTAATGAATGATAGATGTCATATGCTACACTTTGGTATACATTAGGCATATATACAAGGGACATTGTAGCTAGCGTGACATCAAGTGATCAATTTAGTCTTAGGCATCTCTTATTGTAGAAAGGAAAATCTAGTGATGATGATATGACAGTAACATGTGTTTGATGTTCAATATTGTATGACGGTTGATAAAAGGGTATGAAAAAGAAAATATGTCAGCTAATATAAGTTAATTGTTCTCTTCAAGGGAAGGAATACCACACAACAAACAAGGCATGCATTAGTCAACAAAAGTTAACAAGCTTTCAAACAACATTATTTAGCATGCATTAAGTAATGATACATCAAGGATATTTGAGATCCAACAATGCGGGCTATATAAATAGATAGTTCTTGTTATAAATGGCGAAATCAAGCAATTAGGAAGGCTTGCAACGAGCTTTGAAAATGACAAAAGCCACCCATGAAAATGTTTTGGGAAGCAATTAACATGAAACATAAGAGATCAAACAATGTTCGAAGATATAATTCAAACACTATCTTTTTAGAAAAAGAAGTCAAGGTAGCGAAAAGATGTCATCAAACTTCACCAGCTAATAGACAGCAAGTATAAATCCTTAGTGTGCTTCGAGTGAGAGTTTCAGGAATAGTGTTAACCACCAAGTGGCATCTAACACTGGTCGTTGTCAATAGTCATTGTCCATTGATACAGATGAATTGTTAGCGAGAGCGAAGAAAGCTTTGTATTTCCTAAAGTCAAAAAATGTCTCCCAATAATCTTCCAAACATGTAAGAAAAAAAAACGAGAATATATTAATATTTGAGTGCGGAGATTTAAAATCTTCCTCTAAATTCATATTTAATAATATATATATATATATATATATAACTATTTTAAAATAGAATTAAAGGGGTGGTTGGTGACCTCCATCAACCAATATTAACCAAACTCCAATGTAGCATGAGAGATTGTCAGAGATAGTTAATCTATACACATAAAGATAAAAGAGAGTGATATTACGGCAATAATATATCATGGAATATATTTGCTATAGGTAGATATTTAGCTTTTCAAAATAATTTTTTTTTAAAAAAAATTATTAAAACCACTATTTGAGTGGATAATAGAAGTTACAATTGACCATAAGAAATGTCCTAAATAATTGATAAATAATATTTTTAAATAATTTAATTCTCTAGAAGGCTAAAAAATTTATAATCATTTAAAATTATTAATTAAAAAATAGAATAAAAATATATTAAATTATATTTACATGAAATTTTAATATAAATACAAATGTTTAAATCCCGCCCTTATCCTTAATATCCTACAGTGAGCAGGTTTGTTAAAACAACTCATTGTTCGAGAACAGCTCGTGTTTGACTCGCCAAGCAAACGAGCCAAATCCGAACAAACTTTTTGTGTTCGAAATATAAACGAGTCGAATACGAACAATGATATTTTTTAACGAGTCGACAAGAGCTCTTAATATTCCTCAAAATTCTATTTTTCATCATCTAATATTTCATGCAGATTATTTTGCGAAAAATTCAAACCTCAAATAACGGTAACTTCAGCAGAAAAACTCCATGAAATCCAAACAAAGGCTGTTGGAATGCATCTAAAATTAAATACAGAACACCCGAAACATTGCTATTTACAAATCAAACAC